TATGCCCTGGGAGTCCATCTCTGTCCATCTGTATGCCCTGGGAGTCCATCTCTGTCCAGTCTGTATGCCCTGGGAGTCCATCTCTGTCCATCTGTCGAGCCTCACAGTCCTTTCATCTTCTGCTAAAACTGAACAGGGCTCATACTATGTCCACGGTTTGGTACCCCGCTTCTCCCCCTTTCCCACCAGATCGAACGTGAACTATTTATCTGCCTCAGGCCTGGTGACTCCACCTCCCAGCCAGTGCAGGCATAGCTCCCCTTTCATTAGCCAGGGGTCTGGGGTGGATGTATGGGAAGTCCCTGTCATGTAAGGGCCCCAAAGGCAATCATGTCCTCTTTCCATGTCTGAGTATCGTGAAGATGCACCATGACCAAGCCACGAAGTTCAAAGCCCAACAGCAGCAAATGAGGTATTGTCCACATGGGCCCAAACTGAAAACCAAAGCGCACAGGAATGTGAAACACGGTTGCCCAGAGAATGCTCCCTCTGGGCAGGAGGATACAGAGAAATACGCACACGATGAGGACTGATCTTGTTTGGGGTCGGGTGGCTGGCTCAAGGGTGCTCATTATGTTTACTGCTACCTATAAATGTCCATAAACATCTAAAAGAAAATAAAGGCAGGCTGAGTGTGGACTGGGGATGGCAAAGGGTCATGAATCAAGGTTGACCGTCAAATTATATGTGCACATGCGCACACACATGCAGGCACGCACACACACACACACACACAATGTCAAAAAGCCTACCGCGACTTCAGGCAGGCTGTAAGTGGACTATCTCTGGTCTCATCACCCCAGCTGCCTCTACGTGTATGTGAGAAAGAATCGAACGCAGACTGTGAAGCTTATTATGCACTCAGCTAAAGTCAACACGGCTGGATGAATGGATTTAAGAACCCCTCAGAGGAACTCTAGGAACCTGCCCTGGTGGCCTAGTGCAGATGCTTTGGACTGCTAAGCACATGGTCAGCAGTTCAAAACCACCAGCCGCTTTGAGGGAGAAAGATGAGACTTTCTATTCCAGTAAAGGGCGACACTCTCAGAAACCCACAAGGGCAGTTCTACCCTTTCCCAGAGATCACCGTGAGTTAGAATTGACATGATATAGCCGTGAGTTTGTTTGTTTGTTAGTTTGTAAAGGGAGACATCAGCACACATGTCTATAGGCAAGCCACCAGGGCTGGTCAGATGGGAAGAGACACTTGGTCCAGGGGAAAGAGATGTGGGCTTTGGGTAGCGACTGGTGGAGCCCAGGAGGGGGAAACCAGGCGGATGTTGGAGCTGATGAGAGAGCAAGACCAGCCTGCCCTCAGGGAGTCACAGGCTGGTAGAAGGAAAGACAGGAAATCCAAACAGGACAACCCCTCAGAGCCACAAAGACAGGCTCTGTCCTCTTAAATGCTGTACAACTGATACTTAAGAAGAAGAGATGGGGGGTGGGCGGTGGTAGAGCATTCTCTGAGTTTCCCTGAGACCATCTATTGCTATCAAATAGAAGGCAGGAGGTGGGCCATGGGGGGGCGGGGGTGCAAGGCCTCGGAGGCACCTGCTCTCCACATACTGCTCCACTCAGGTGTTTCCACTGCCCCTAACATACCTCTCTGCACGTATTTGCCAACCTGCCCCTGTCCCCACCAGCTAGGACACAAACGTGTTGTCCCTCTCCCCAACCCCACCCCACCCTACCGCCCCCTGTGTTGGCTGAGCTGGCTTTCATCAGATTGAGAACGTTTCAGCTCTTCCCAATTTCCTTCTCAGTCACCTGTTCACAAACATGAAAGTGAGCTGTAAAATCAATGCATTGCAATTTCTCCCGGGCCCCCTCGAGAACCGTGCCTGCAATGAACACGAGCCCTGAGGAAATGGCCCCCGCATCCTGAAAACTAGGGAGCCTTGGTATCTGTGGGTCTGGGCATTCAAGACCCAGAGGCACTGTGTGATCTGTCACCACAATGCTGACTTCTCAGAGGGACCTTTCGGACAAGTGCCCTTCCAGTTAGGAGCAACTCGGGTCAGCTAAGCCAAGTGTTGAGTTCCGCAACAATGTGCATGGGAGAAGTGAAGTCCTTGGCTTCCGGTCACTGGACACTCACCACCTCCTGAGAGGGCCACTTCCCCTGGGCAGTGGCTCTGATGACAAGCACATTAGTAACGTCAGCTGGCTTGGCTTCCCCCTCCCCCTGTGAAGGGGCCCTGGGTCATGCCCAAAGGAGACTTTCCCAGGGAAGCAATGGCCGACCCAGCAATAGCCTGGGCTGGGGCTGGGGCTGGGGCTGGGGCTCAACCTATCGTCCAAGCTCCTGGCACTTGTGAGAGACGTCAAGAGACCTTTGCCCTTGCAGCTGCCCAGAGCAGGTTTCTGCTATCCATTCAAGAGTCAGAGAGCAGACCTGGCTGGAGGGTCTGCACCTTGTATCTACCCATCAACAGACCTTGGAGAGAGTCCAGCACTCAGCACCCTGTTCGTGTCCTCTCTCACTGTGTGTGTGTGTGTGTGTGTGTGTGTATACCTCCCTCCTGCCCTGTCCAGGGCATAGTTCTAGTTCAAGTTGCAGGAAGAAGCTACCTTCCCTGGCAGCTTGGATTCCCAGCAGAGACTGGCAGAAACAGGGGCAGGTGACCTAGGCAATAAGGGAAGCACAGGCTTACTTGTGCTTACTTACTAATCTGTAGTGAACACACTCACCTGTGTTTCACCAGATTTGGTGAAATACAAGTGAAATTGTTCACCCGAGATTAGTAAGTAAGCATAAGTGAGCCTGTGCTTGCTCTGCTCCCTGTCAGGAACTGTAACTTTGAAAAGAGGCTTTGATTCTGTTGGAGGGTGTGTTAGGCCGGGTTGACTAGAGAAACAAATCCAGTGGCACTCAGACATGTGTAAGAAAGAGGTTTACATGGAGGAAACAGCCCAGCCCAGTCCAACTCAACTCCCTATGTCCGGTACTAGTCCATGAGTCTCTCTTCAGACTCGCACAGCCACATGCAACGATGCAGAATGCAGGAGCATCACAGGCTGGTGGGTGCAAAGTAGTTTGGATCCAATGGCAGTGGAAGCATCAGGGCTCATGGTGACCTGCCAGCAGGAAGATGAAGGCAGAGGTATGGGGGGCACGGGGGTGGGGGGTTCCCAGGGCCCTCCTTATGATAAGGCCATGCCCACAAGAAGTCACGATCAGGCTAGACTCCACCCCTACACTTTTATTTATCTTCAGTCTAACATGCAGCTATGTAACTACCGCAGAGGGCACTGTGGGTCGGGAGAGACAAATGCCAGCCTAACCTACAGGCTGAGTCTTCGATGTAGTGGGAGAAAGAGGTGGACATGTTCACTGTGGATTAGTAAGCACAAGTAAGGTCATGCCTTACCATATTTGTTGGATGATCCTGTACTATTTATGGTCACTGTTATTCTTGGTATAAGTTCCCAAATGTATTTGGCCTACAACTACCATTCAGGGGTAAAAGAAAAGATTCTCAGTGTCCCCCACACAGACATGTGTTCTATAGCCCGTAATCCTGGATAAGGTGTGGGGATCTGTTTTTACAACCTCTCGGGATCATTCCAACCCCTAAAGTATAACCCACTTTGGGAAACACTGTTCTGGACACACACACACACACACACACACACACACTTCCTGCTGTTATCCTGGCCTTCTCGTGCCTTCTCCAGTCTCTCTTCGCCAAGGCTGGTTCTCCCTCCTAAATCACTCTGCAACCTGGCACTTCCCTCCCTCCCTGCTCCCACTGCCCAGTCGGAGGTCTGAGCCACCCAGGCCACTTTATCTCATGATCTCAGCAGGTGGCCCCCTGCTTTTCTCCAGGACTCTCCAGTCTGTCTCCTTCCCCGAGCCCGAGCCCCGGAGGGGCTTATCCAGAGTGCCTAGAGGCACGCGGACTCGCTGACCCCCCGCCTTCGACAGTGGCCCCTCCGCCACTCCAGGAGAAGAAATCAGGCGGAGAGCAGCCCTGCTCGGGTTGGAATGGAGAGCAGGCAGCGGTCTCTCGGATCGGGAGGCAGCGGAGTTCCTCCGGCTGCCAGGCCGGCGAGCTAGTCTGTGCCTTGCAGCCCTGGGGCCTGAGACCCTCGAACGGGGCGTTCGGCCACCCCAGCCCCAAGCTCTCCATCTCCGCCGCCCTTCCCAGGTCCCCGCGGGAAGAAGGGGTCTGCGGACCGCCGCGGGGCAGGGCGTGGGGGTGGGGGTAGAGGCAGGGCCCTGAGCGGGAGGCGCCGTCCGGCCCCGCCCCCCTGACGCAGCCATTGGCCGTTGCGGAGAGGGTGGAATCGTGGCTCCCGGTGCCCCGCAGCTCCTTTGGAGCCAAGGTCCCGACTTGGCCGCTCCCGGGGAGCTGGCGTCGCGAGGCTGCGGGGCAGGTCGGGGCTGGGCTGACAGAGCCCCGGTCCCCGCGCCCTCCCTGCCGCACACTGGCACCCATTCGGCGGCAGCCTGGTGAAGCGCGCACCCACACCCTCTCCGCGCGCGGCTCCAGGGCGCGATGGAAGCGGCACTGCTTGGGAGTCTGCTGGCGGCGAACTGCAGCCTGGAGCCGGCCGACGAGCTCCTCCTGGACGGCTGGGGGCTACCCCCGGACCCCGAGGGTAGGCGGGAGGCTGGCGCACCCCGGCGGCGCGGACTCCATTCCTGGCGCGCTCAGGGCGCGCGGGGCTCCGGCGCTACCTTCGCCCTGCGCCCTGCGCCGCGCGTCCATCGCGAGCCCTCTGAGCCCCGCTCTGCTCTCTTCTGTCGCCAGGTCTTTACTCCTACTGCAATACAACCCTGGATCTGATTGGGACGTGCTGGCCGCGGAGCGAGGCCGGAGCCCTGGTGGAGAGGCCATGCCCTGAGTACTTCAATGGTGTCAAGTACAACACGACCCGTGAGTGTCCCCAGGCCCACGGCCGTGGGCTCTGCGCTGGCCCCGCAAGGAGTGGGGAGGGTTTCGCCCTCAGTGGGTCCTTGGTACCAGGTCCCACCCACCACTGGCATTAGGAACGGTTCATTTCGTGGGGCTCAAGCCCACTGCTCCCCACTGTAGCGTCAGACCACAGTGCAGCAGCGGCTTAATCTCCTGGCGCAGCGAGAAAAACGAGAAAGGCAAGAGGAAAGAAATCTCGTGGAGAGCAAACCTCTCCCGCACGCACCCTGTGTGGTCCGAGTGCCTGAAGTTCCAGCAGCATCAGAAGGGTCACCTCTTTGTTCCCACAATGCAGGCCCCTAGGGGCAGGCGTACACGCAGGCTGCCAGACCCCAAGGGGAGAGGTGAAATCAGCCTGTGGACAGCTGGAG